TAAGACCGGATACGGAAAACAGATGCAGATATCGGTTGTAATATGCAGTCATGCACTGACCAAGCAATTTCGATACTACAAAGCGAGGAGGCTTTGTTCACCATTATAAGCACATAAGTAGTATTCGAATCGAATATAAGCTGTAAAATAAAATAAATATAAAAATAAGAAAGATAAAAGGTGGTAAGATGCTTGGGTAAAGTAAGGGTGGTTAAGCAATTAAAGCTAAGTTAAAATTATGTGATGGTAGGTATATATATATAGTCATGCGAATTCAGAATCCTTCGTATTTTTATTTTACGTTTATATTTTGACCAATCATTCGTAGTTTTGTCAAAAGTATGTTCATGTTATATTTTATAATTTACGCCTATAGCAACTTATTACTATTTCGTTTTTCATTATTCGTGTATAATGCTAATCGCTATTGGCCATTGGGTATTCAAATTGACGTCGATTGATGTCACTTGTCGTATAGGTCACTTTAAATGAGCTTCTTTGAATTTAAAACCATATAGATCACTACGATATCAGGTATATTATATTGTAACGGTTTTTTAGAGGTCTTGAAAATCCACTTGAAAACCCATGGTTGGAGGGAGGGAATAATGCGTTATTAAATTAATTGTCGTTGACATTATTATTGTTAATATTGCAGGATTGACGTCAATCTACGTTTACGTTAGGTACCTGCCTAACAACGACCGCGACGACGACGACATGACCTCGTGTACTCAGTTGTCTATTTTCGTATGGTCACACTCATATTATTACACGTACACACATTTGCCAACAACCGTCTAGGAGGCGTTTAAAAGTCAAGTAATATATGCGCTTACGCGTCTATAAGACGGATTTACAGACCCGTAAAAGGGAGCTGCGATTAGAAAATGTTTCTCATCCTTAAACCTTCCCAATTAAGATTATACAAATCGATTATCTGTTGCAACAGAATCATGCAACGGTTATATGATTTATTTATTATAATAATTTACAGCTATTAGCCATTACTCATTACTTATATAGTTATATTGCTATCATATTACCATCACATTATTAACATATTATTCATTATACCTACATAATTATTTTTTATGGCTGATATATACGTATTATTTGTTATTGTTTTTCACAGAATTTATAAGACACAAAGATAAAATTCTACAAAATCTATAGTAAGTATAAACATTAACGCTATGTAAAATTGAATTTCGTGTAGTAGGTACTGATCAAAGTGATCAAACATTATAACGTATGTTATTATCGTTATACTCCACTACTCAGCAAGCTCATTTAATGAGTTCGCACTCATAATAATTTACTGGTACTGATCTACCAAAAATCATAAGTACTTTCAAGACCGTCGCTGAAAACATATTTCCGAGAGGGGATCCAATTTTTTAATATACTAAACAGTAAACATTCATATTTTGTTACGTCCAAACATAATTTTTTTTTTTTTTGAATCATTTTGAGTAGCCGAATCACTATCTATACACCGCCCTCTAAAGTTACAGCCTGGGATACCTATATATATAATTCAAGGGTTTTTAAACTTCAAAAAGGGAGAATAAAAGTTTTTACTCCTTCTCGAAATTTGTCTTTTTATATACGTATATGTACATGTATAATCAATTCTACAAATATATGTATATATGTAATAATTATTCCTATAATATGCTAAAAACTGTTTGTAATCCTAATCAATCCATTTTTCAATATCTAGAATCTAGATTCCAGTAATTAATCATTATTAATCATTATTCATTTAGACATAGGTAATTTATTGTATTCTAAAAGACTAAAAAACAATAAATTTAGCATAGCACTGTATTACTAAACAATCTTTTGTACGACATCATAATACCTATTAATTTTACAATTTTAAATCCATATTTAGGACTGTACGTTAATTTAATTGTATTTTGTACGGTATCCAACCACACACAGATATTGTTACTCTCCGAACAAGATGCACTTGAACTAGAACTTTCAAGGTGAACCAGTACCACGAGAACATACTATTATTATTGTCTACTGCATTCACAAGTCATAATCACTGTTCTCAGTGCATTCTCCCATACATCATACTTTATATTATGCTGTAAAATAAAAGAATTCGTCAAAACGCAGTACTGTAAAACTTGTTTTTGACAGGGGGTGCGTGTAAGTTTTCAAAAATGTTTTATTGAAACCTATTATAACCACATAATATACCAAATACCTGCGTACAGTATATATCATTAATCATTATACATATTATGGATATTGCAATGCAATTAAAAATCCGTTAAAACGGATGGATTTCATCAATCAAAAACCAGTGACTGGTGAGTGATCCTTCACTGTAGCACAATAATTATTTTATTTTAATAAGACACAGGCTGGGGCGCAAAACAATGGGGAATATATAATAATAATAATAATAATTCATGATATCTTGTTCAAACAGTTGGCGCTATGATGATATTATAGGCTATAGTAAATCGAACATTTTTAGGACTGTTTTTTTTTCGCGAGAACACGAAATGTTTACTAGATATAAACAAAATTTGTATAGGTACTATTATCATTGAGTATATTTTCTGCAACATTTACTCAGTGGACATTTTTGTGTAAAATAATAATATAGATAACCATTTGGCATCCTTTGTTTTTCCATGTAGATCATTTTGTAGCTATTTAAATCGTTATATCTTGAAGTATATGATACACTAATTAAACTATAATGATATTATTTCACTTTTAGGGTTCTGTTTATTTTTTTGCAAGACATACGGGTGTAGAGGTTTATAAAAATAATTTTCGTATTGTCTTAGAATATGCAAACCTAAATAGGCTAATGCCCCCCCCCCTCCTCTACGGCTTCACCATTACCCATATCATTTTTTTTTGTTTTATATTAGTTATTAAGTTTTAACTGTAATTAACTAGTTAGCAAGGACGTATAATTATACAAGTTTTATGTCTTAACAGAATAGCATAGCCAACTGCCAACATAAATAAAAAAAAATCATTGATATAATTTGAAGTTGTACCCATAAATATTTGAAAATATCTCACGTCTAGACGTCAAAAATTATTATGACTGGACAAAATAAAATCATAATTTATAACAAAAAGATTTTGTTTGTATATATTTTTGTGTAAATTATTTTATGTTTCATATCAGACCGAACTGAGTAAGCACCAACTTTATTTGTCCAAGCTAATCTTGTGTATTGTGTCAACTGTGACTAATTATTTAAAATCCTGCGTGTGCCACTGGATAGGTGTATCGGTATAAATTCATAAGTATAAATTAAACACTGTACAATGTAACTGTATAATGTAATATTCTAATTTGCAGTGAACTGCTGTTATGTACAGGTACACCTCAACAATATTATTATCGTCATCTGTCCTTCATCGAACTATATAAACATTGACCAACTAAAATACGGTCGGTATAATAGGTACACTATTATTATTATCATAAATTTGACCATGAAATTCTAAGCGTATTGTCACAATATAGAATTTGTATAATCATTCGAAATACCAACATATTTTTCATAGTCGTAAAACGTTTACTGGTACATATTATCTATAGTATATTATATTATGTTTTGAACCACTTGATAATAATAATTTGTTCCGACACGAATAGCACTATAATTCATTCTATTGTTCAAGACGACTTTTATTTTTAATTTTCGAAAACTCCTTTCAAATTAACAACACCGTTAAACTATACGACAACTTGGACATCATGCATTGTAACAACCATAATGCACGAGTGTAACTTAATTTTTTGACAAACATCGTAAACTATACCCATCGAGGGTTACGTAATTGCGGTAAACGGTATATAGTTTAGTTTGTTTGTTGTTTTTCGCTCAAGAGAAACAATACACAAGTAACGATTGAATACAGATGTAATATGAAATTATGTAAATAGGTATGAGTTAAAATTAAAACAGTATAGATACTCGTAAACTGCAGTTTGACTATTCGTAAGTGTATTGTTTTTAATGTTGTATGGAATTAACAAGCGGAGTTTGATAAAAATATTCGAATAGGGAATCATGGACATTATTTTTAATAAGACGTAACATATTATTCAAATAAATAAATTACTTAAAGTCAAGCAAATGAAGACAATAATATATTATAATACACATGCATATTTCAATATATGGTTCGTATTATATTATGGTATCGACCACGCCATAATATTTTTCGGTTCGATGTAAATAATATATTGTTTAGCGCCCATCGAAAATTAAGTAGACTTGACACATATAAGTCAGACGTTTAATATTGATGTTTCTGTCCAAAAGAGATTTGTTGGTGCGTTTGAGGGGATTTCGCAGGATTACGTGGGATTTAGTATCGCATTAAATAGGTACTACAGCGATTGACGTTTTTATTACTAAATAAACTATTAGACGATGTTACGGAAGTTCAATGGACAGTGACGGTTATGTCTTATTGCATGTGATATATGTTAATTAAAGTCTAACGCTATAAAAAATATGCGATTTTGATACTTAAAAGTTAAAACAAACCTAAGCAAATATTATAATAATCCACGGAGGTAGTTCCAAAAATGTTAAGTTAAAAAATACCCTTTGACCTATTGACGAATGTAGTTATATATATTATTATTTATTTGTATAGCTGAAATATTTTTACATGGAATATTACCTTATAAAGAGCAGTATTATGGTATTCATGACCAGTATCGTGTATTTTGTATTCAACACAATTCGCAAAAATATATAATATAATAACTTAATTTTACCTTAATCGTTTATCTATATAAATAAAGGGCATACACCTAAAAATAAAAAAGTACAGCTTAATCACACGTAAACATATAAAATTCATTAAAAAAAATGGTGTACGCATTATTTAGAACAACAATGAATATAGAAAAATATAGTATATAATATAATATATATAAAAAATGTAATTTAGCTTAATTTATGTTTTTAATTTTTATCAATACAAAATAATCAGGAAGAATGAATTTGATACGTGTTCGCCAGCGACAGACGAATTTCATCAGCATTCTTGTTGTTGGTCTCTGGTACGAAAAACAGTATGAACAGATACCCGAAAACCGATATGACGGTGTAGAAAAGCCACAAGGCAACGGGCCACTCGTCGACCAGCATAACAAACGTCTTCATCACTGCGAACGACAATACCCACGAGTACGAGACTATGTAAGACTGGGCGCGATTCGAGTGGTCGGCTCCGATCAGCTCGGTGGTTATGAACCACGGTATCGGTCCCAAACCGAGCCTGAAGAACGCGATGAACGTACACACAATGACTACCGGCAGTATTTTCAAAGAGTTCTCCAGCATGCCTGCAAATGGTGTCAAAACATTATTATTATATAATTATTTTTTTATATTTACGTTGTCTAAGCAGACTTCCATATATAAATTGATAAATGGTATAGTATAATAGCGGATGTTAGGTGTGTACCAATAGGTGACACTTGGCTCTAATTTGTGCGTGTGTGTGTGTGTGTGGGGGGGGGGGGCAAAAATTAATCACAATATACGGTGGTGGTAAACTCTCCGATTTTTAAAACTAGTAAACTTTCCCGATGGTAAACTCTCCCGGGTCAATATTATATTTACCTGAAGTAAATGTGTAAACTCTCCTGAGTTGTATTAATTGTTATTGCTACACTATGAATTGCCTACAGTGGAGCAATTGTGATTATCATTTTAAATTTTTATCATCAATTGTATTATCGTTAACCTGTATTTATAATTAAAATATTTTATTACCGTCAACATATTTTTAATATTAATATTAAAAACGATATTGACTATAATGGCTCAAGTTTTCCAACCTTACCACTTGCTTAAGACGAATAATGCGCCAAGCTCAGTAGTACTGAAGTATTGTAGACCCGGGAGAGTTCACATGTTTCCGTCAGGTAGTGGAATCGGGAGAATTTACATGTCATTAAAATCGGGAGGGTTTACAATTGCCATAATTTACTGACCCATTTAAAATGATAAGTTTGCCCAATACATATCTTCTCTTTGAGGGAGGGGCCTTTCAAATGCTTCCTATGTTTGTGCCACACATGATTATTATTAATCAGATGAAACGCGAGTCGTAAAATCAAACTTTAAACATGTCTATACAGGTATATACCATTAATTATCAGATTGTTGTGATCGTGTGATGTACTATTATTACTATTATTGTGTTTGAATAATATTAAGATGACATATTATTAATAGTCGTGGTTCGGGGGTAGGGGGGATATTTCTCGTTATTATTATTGATGGTCAGAACTTACAGTTACCAAGTGTGAGTTACACACACTTGTGTACTTAAGTAGGTACAATGTACCAGGTACATAGTTACAAAACACGCGAGTTTAGAGTAGCTGGTGACGATTTACAGCTCCACGCGGACTATGAGTAATAATAATTACATCGTATTACTTATTATATTATTCAAATATAAAATAATACCTATGAATAATTAATTTTTTCCCTTTATTTTTATAATGAAAAAAAAACAATTTTTTATTGCAAACGAGGAAGTATTTTAGCAGTTGTGATTTATTGTTTTTATTTCTTCTGCAAAAATAATAATATTTTATTACAAAATACAACCACAACTGATAAAGTTCTCGTGTATCTGACAGAAATCTAATTATTATACACATAGGTACCTTTAAAATAGTTTTTGAACGGCTTCGTGCTCGAAAAATCACAAAATAATCTCAATATGTATATATTAACAGACATCACAGACCCGGAAACATATTTCACGATTATAAGAATTTTCTCAAGTAGCACTCGCAATGAAATTAAAATAAATTGTTGAACTTTCAATATTTTTTATTTTTCCAGCAATTAACCAAAAAAAAAACTATTAAAGAGTATACTATTACGACGATCTCAGCAGATATTGCAGTCATCGCGCTGGAGCATTGCACAAAATACGTCATACGAGTATATTATATGAGTGTAATTAGGTGCCTGTGGTACGTACCTTTGTTCAAGAAATAGAAGTACATAGTCAATACGGCCAAGCACGCCACCACGACCGATGACGAGACGAGTAGAAGTTTTCGGCGGCCCACCCGGTCGATGAGGAAAATGGTGATGCCCGAACCGATGAGCTGGAAAATTCCGGTGATTATCGAAGCCGTGTTTGGCGCCACCGACGATCCGGATAAGCAGAAAAGTTTCGACGTGTACTGTATGATGGCTCCAGCACCAGACATCCTCTGCACGGTGGCCAACCCCAACGACAGGATCACTGCTTTAGCGAAAGCTCGCCTGAAACAACATTATATTATTGTTATATGATATCTTCATGGCGGTTATCCTAAGAGAGCGTTTGACCGAATCCACCGTACTTTCTTCCTTTGGGTTGCAAATCCTTGTCGGCCGGAAGCGCGTCGTCTTCGGTTTGCAGTTTTGAGTAATCGTCGAATGCCGCGGAAACGCCGGAGTCGTCTCCCTGGAGCCATCTGCATTACAATAGCACACGTCATACAAAAATCCTCGTAAAAAATAAAAATACGTCTCTGGTACCGACCGATTTTTTTCCAATATAATCCCATACCAAAACGTATACACACAGATAATAGTATTAAAGTAGTCGTGTACGACCCCCACACTGTTCGCCGTGTTTGGCGATGACATGAGACCTCTGAACGTACGCACCCAAGTGGATGTTGCCTACGCTGAACCCCTTAAGAACAGTCTACGGTATTCTGGAAGTAACGCGATGCCTTGATATTGCGTGCCACCCAATTGGCTTGCTTTTATTCACGCTTAATATTTCTTAATACGTAAGTCAATATCATAATAATAATATACATTAGGCATGAATGTATTTTCGGCCCAGATGTTGATTCACTACAACTTACAAACCGTAATAATTAAAACCCATTTTCAACTATAATATGGTTGAACCATCATTAGCAGTCTCTTAGACATTATGAAAAAAAAAAAAAAAAAATGAAAAAATCATATATCGACATCCGGGCCTCAATTGCACTACGTTTTAGGCTCACACTGGTGAAACTATAGAAATCCACCAACTATAAGCTCACTGCTGCGTTCCAATATTTACTTAAGAGTTTAAGACTTGAGACCACTAGTGGCGTCGTCCATTTATCATCGGCACGGGAATTCGAAACTCAAAGATTGTCTTTACCCCTTCGCCACCACTAAAGTCACCCCCCTAAGCTACAAGTGCACGCTGCTGTAATTAATAAGAGTGGTCATACATGAGAGCTGCTTTGGCGTCCAAGAAGCGTCCTCGGCTATACAGGTACAGCGGCGATTCGGGCATACGCCAGAAAAGTGCGCAGAACACTAGCGGGATGATGGCGCAGGTTAACGCAAACATGCGCAGGCCTAGTAATTCACTGCACACGTATGAATACAGGATGCCTGCACACAGCATGAAATCGAGGAAGACTCCTCCACGGCCTCGGCACACGTCTGGCGCCACGTCGTAGTTGTACAGTGGAACAGCCACCGTGACTGCACCCAGCGACAGTCCGCACAGGAGACGTCCGAGGAGGATCAAATACACCTGCAAACAACCAGGATAATCACAATACATGTATTGTTGTTGTAATTTTAACGATACCTCCACAAATAGTATAATAATAAAAAATGTAATGTTACTGAACCCAACAAACAGAAAATTATATATTATTATGGTAAAAATATCAATAACACAGGAAATGCCTACTATTAAAATTGTAGGTCAGAGGAGGTCAAAGGTATGTTTTCTCTGCAGCGTCAAACAGTGGAACAACACGAAGTCGTAACGGCGACCATGTCCCGACAGGTAATTGACGCTGGACGAGGTTAGGAAATCGAAAATATCTTATGACCTATAAATGGGATAACATTCAGGTGAACTTTTTTTTGGCAAAGGTAGAAAAACTTGTTGGGGTTCTTCTATTAGAATTTCTAATGTTAGTTATGAATAGGAATAATTTTATGAATTTCTAACTGAAAATAATTGACAAAATTTGAAAAATGTCTCGTGGCTAAAAATAGCTATAAAAAAAAGTCAAAATATTTTGAAAATGTGACCATGTATGAAAAATAAAAATGTGTATGAATATTCGGTGAAAATCAAACTATCTTAACCCTTTTTAAGCTATTTATAACCATAAGACGTTTTTCAAATCGTACAAAGTTTGTAAATTATTAATTAAAAATTCATAAGAGTTTTTCCATTCGAAGCTAATATTAGAAATTCTTATAGAAGATTTCCAACAAGTTTTCACCATAAACAACAGCAAAAAGTTCATCGAAAAGTTATATTATTTTATTATTTAGGTATGAGATATTTTCGATTTTTATTAGATTTTATTATTTATACAAGTTTGCACTAGGACGGCACAGCGTCTCCACTCAGAACCGTTTTTCGGATGCAATGATTTATCATTGAATTCAAATGTAACACAACCATTACAATGACATGCTCGACAATTTACTGTATAGCAGATAGGTGTAATCACTTGTCTACGTTTTTTCGTAGTTGGTGATTTAATGCCCAATTATTCACCGCCATGTGTATTATGCATTATTTTAATATGAACTTACGTGATTCACGAAGGCCATGATTAACAGCCATCCAAGTGTCATCGGAATCGCGAGCAACAGCAGGAACTTCTTGCGGCCGATGGTCCGGGATATCTGTCCGGCCGGAAGTGCTCCCAAGAGCGCACCAATCACGTATATGGAAACGATCCACGACGTCTCATCCATGGTATCCATTATGAACATCATCTCGCCGACGGATTCAGGATGTTCTGGGGCCGTCCAGCCACCAACTACGGTTCCCGAAGCAAACGACATCACGGAAGCTTTTTGAAACAAAAAAACAAATTAATTTTAACATCGAACACGGATCAATATTAATTTAAAATTATATACATTCTCATACTGTAATGTGATAATAATATGTGAGTATGGTTACATTACAATGCGAAATCATCTAACACCATACAATAAATCAGTCGGTGCTGAAAATTTAAAATATATCCTATGAAAACAACTTTTTGATTAATTCAAACTTGTACTGCTTATTTATTTTTTTAATGAAATAATATGATGATTTGTATACAGTTGAAAATCGTGACGCACTTACATAATATTATAGTGGTGAAAAATAAAAATTAGTTATTATGTGTGCATTTGAAACACATTATTAGCTGTGAAAAAATCAACTTGGTTCAGACATCAAATAGAATGTAACGAATTGCAAGGAAATCAAAAACCAAATTTTGTTTAGCATTGTATATTATTTATATACTCTCATAAAATAGTAACGATGATAATGTCACAATTGCAACCTGCAATAACAAATGTATAACATGAAGTATGTAGATATAGTCCACCGGCCAAAATAAGTGTGAATGTACCTATAATCAGTACTTTGCACCCCAATCATTTATTCGGGTTTCGGATGCTAGATGTATTTGGGTGTTTGAACACCGAAATAAATAATTTAAAAAACTGATTTGTTGTTAATAATAATGTATAAATTCCTACCTGGAATGCGCAACAGTTACTGTAGACTAAAACGCGCTAATAAGTTATAACTTAAAGTAGTTACATTTTTGTAAGAAACTACGAGAACCAACACAATAAGAAATTAATTAGGTGCCTATTTATTTTATTAGTCATTTGAGTCCTTGTCATTTATGTAAATTTAATTATGTACCTTAAGTTCTTATCCTCTTATTTTATAAGTTTCCATTTACTTATTTGTTTACAATTTTAAATTATAGGCTATAATAATGAAGAATCGATATGAATCGTTAAGATCTAATTATCTTAATATCATTAAACATACCGAGGAATAGGCCCTAAATCCTAATAATGATCAATACAAAATAATAATGATACTACGCACCTAAAAGTTACAATTTTAATCTATACCTCAAGAACCGTTACAGTTTATAATTTTATTATTATTATAACCTTACCGAGAAAACTGGCCAATAGCGAACGCCGAATCGGGATTTTTTTCGACGAGAGCAGTGGCTGTTTTTCCATTTCACCGCTGTACGAAGACTCGGACAACATGATATATGATACACGGGTGCAGCTGTCACTCTGATTTCAATTAACTAGAACAATGACATGGTAATTATGGTGTTTGTTATATTTCCACAGAACTAATTAAATCGCGAAACGTATTTTTTGTTATTTTAAATTAGCAATATTTATTTGTAATAATTTAGGTACACATAATATATAATCAAACATTATATTCTAAATATTATTAAAAAGCTCCGGAGAACAGTTGTTCAAACGTGATCATATAAAATTCGATTAATAATTTTTCTTGCCCAATATTTAACGGCTAAAATAATTTCCTTGGTAAAAGTTAAGACATTAATATTATTAGACTATTAATCATATTATACGTGCGAGTTATTACAATTATTTATCAAATTCAGTCTAGTCATAAGTCAAAAACATTTATCAGACTTCACTAAATTATATGAATAACATTTACACAATACGCAGAGGTACTCAAACTTTCAATTTTCTCATATAATATCTATAATAAGAAAAAATAATTTGATTATTAATACAAATATTATATAAACGATATTAATTGAATATTGGTATTTAGTGTTCAGCTATTTCTCTTTAGAGATGATTCAACAAAAAAATCATTAGATTGTACAGTGAATACAGTCTGTAATATAAAGCAAACAGTTTAGATTAGTAAGATTCATAATGAAAATATATTAAACAACATTGTCATTAAAATATTGAAAAGAAATTAAAAGTGCAATGTTTTGAAATTAGTTTTAATGTTAAACATATTATTATTCATTTTACCTATGACATTTTTTTAAGCTCATTTCACATGCAATTAAATAGATAAATAATTTGTACTTTGATTTATAACAAATATAATATTGGTATTATGAGTTAAATAAACTCAAATTATGATATACAGAAAAAATCTGACCTACTTATAGAGGTAATTGTTAATCCTGAAAATGTCTTAATTTATTAAGCATCTAAATTATATTGATAATTATCAAGTGTTTATACTTTTATAGTAAATAATTATTGGCAAATCGATTGTGACTAAAGATATTATAAGGTCAGTTTTTTGAATATCAACGAAAATGTGTCATGAAATTATTATTTTTACTTCTTGAAGTGACTGAAACACTTGGAGAATATTTGGACAATTTTTTTCAAGCATTTCCAGTGAATTGTTATCAATAATGGTAAAATAAAAGTAGAAAACCATTAAAAAAATGTTCACCCAATTTCAAAATGATGAAGTACTTCTTACAATTCGAAATCACTAACAACAAGGTTGGTGTGTTTGCAAGAAATACATTTTCCTGACATTTTGTCACTCATTATCAGCAATATTATGAATTATATAATATACATTATAGAAACATAGTCGGACATCGTTCCCATGAATATAATAAAGCTACATAATATGGGTGTGACTTTTTTCCATGTTTACAGATAAAAATAAAATAACACGTGACGAATGAAAGTTTAATATCTAAGAAAACGATAATCTTAAATATTTTTTACTATTCATTTGTGTTAATAATTTAATTATATCTTGTATGATTTAATAGTTGCACAACTAATGACAACTATTCGTATTTTGAATTTTGTAACAATTTTGTCTGAATGTTTACACCGTGAAATATAGACAACCCGACTGTCAGGCAGTTCACTTTAAATAAAAGTTGTTTCTCTCACACATATTATCTAGTATCTAGGTATTTATACATAATGCAAAAACGGGAACGATGAATTTACATATTTCAAATCGCTGAATATCATTATTTTTTTATTTAGATTAACCTTGGATCAGTCGTTCAAAAGTAGTAAAATGTAATTACATTTTTCACATTGAACGAATTATCTTCAGCTTTGTCACCAAACACTAAGCCCACTCGTGAAATAAACCATTACCAAAATTATGTCTTTTTAAATAAATAAAATACGAGCATGATTTTTTTAACAATAATATTGCACACAATTATGACATTAAACACTTTGTTGTGCAACCTGTACCACATATACGTGCACATACATAACTAATCTAAAAACGTATTCATGATGACGTATAAGTAGCTCGTAATTAAAAATATTAGTTATTTATTCCTAATAATATTTTGTATTTTTGTGTACCCATTACCTAATATGCGTAACTAAAAACAACAATCCATTCCGAGACCAGTCACTACAAAAGAAACCCAGAATGCCATAAATAAAAATACTAATGAATATATTATTTTGGTTTAGTTGAGCATATTAGGCAGTAAGTATACACAATATTATTATGAATAAATATCTAATATTTTTAACTACAAACTACTCGCATACAATTTAATAAAACATAAAAATATAATATAGGTACACGATATAATGTAATACACAAGCACATGCATCACATTACTGATTTTGTTATGTTCCAGCTAGATAGTTATAAACGGCGAATAATAATAATATAATACGAGAGGAAGATTTTATGTATGACTATTGACTTTAGCTCGAGTTTAAATAGTTCATAAATCCACCATTGAACCCGAAAGGTAACAGACTTCAAAATTCCCATGATATTATGTAACAAATGAACATAATTCGATTAATAATCATTACTATGCCGTAAGTTCGTCATATGCACTTAAAAAAAAAATGCACTCTATAATGCACGTCAATATCATAAATACGATACAAAGCGATAGACTTAAAAGTAAACGTTATACGAAACGCAGTGGCATCGCAACTGATATTGAGCCGTGTGACTGCGATCAGTTACAATGCCTACGCACAATCACTGACATTATATCGTGTACCTACCTACCTAATAAAATACGTTTTTGACGGTTTATAATAATATTATAATATATAGGTATTGTTTTGGACATCTTTTTACTCACGAAAACTTTAACAGTCGTTCGAGTTGCGACATTCGCGAGGGACCGCAACGATGCAGCGGTGAAAAGCTCGACTGAAATTCGATACTACAATATTATATAATGTTATTGATTCCGACGAGTTCGGCCGTCTCTAAATCTTGTGGTAAAGACGATCAACAATTCATCTTAACATTACACAGACTGCTGAACCCGTCTTTGCAGTCGGACCGCGTACACGTTACAAGCGCATAACCTACAAAATAACATAATATTGTATGATAATATTTTTATTCTAGATAATGGGTGTGCGTGCGTATAGGAGGCGGTGGTGGTTACATTTCCACTTTTTCAGCGATGTTTCAATAACCGGTTTGGACTCGAGACTAGACGACGTATTCGGCCATGAGTTTCCCGAGAAAGGCATACTACGCTCCGTGGTGCAGAGGCAGGCACCGTAGTCCGAACGCCGACTCTAAACGCTAATAATTATTATTTAATTAATATTTTGATGACGTTGTGGACGCAATGCGTGTCCCAAGAATATCATTTTTAACAACTTTTAACTTTTATCTACGAGTATGTACGAGTACCTACCTATATATACTCTATAGGTAGGTAAGTAATAATAATATCTTACCTACCACCCTTTTCTACAAAAGACTTTTAAATTTTTATTAGCTTTCAGTTCAAAATTATTATAGCTCGACAATTATATGTATATATGAGACTGGAATTAGTTCTATTTTTTCATTCGTCTTTACGTAGATCCAAAAATCTGATAATAATTATTATAAAATACCTGTTTACTGTTTAATCACAGAATAAATGAAATTTAAATTAATAAATTTCATTTATTCTGTGGTTTAATTATAGATAATAATAATGTCTATTATTCATTCACCAACATTTGGCGTGATTAGAGGTTTAGTGTGCGATTTAAATGATTCCGACACGTTTTAACATGAATTTTGATATTATGATACAATAATATACACTAAGTATCATCGTTGCTCAGTAATCACTCCTATATAATGATTTGAACAAAGCGAAGAATGTATTGATCATGTGATATGTGTCATTTTTTAGTGTCTGAATAAATTGTTTACAGTAGAAGGTTTGCTTTTTTAACTTCAACAACTGCTTTTCAGATAGCTAAGTGAATCTAGTGGGTAATTGTCAGAAGAAAAAATTCCAAGTACTTTTCTACATAATTGGGGAAAACAAAACAAAATTATAGATAAACGTTAACTTTTACACAAAACTAGTTTTTGACAAATTCGATTTTCTTATTTTGGTATAATTCAAAAAAGAATTGTAGATATTTAAATTTTTCAAAAAACGTTTATATTTGGATTTTATATCCATAGAATAATTTTCAAATAATATTGACACTTTTCAGCTATTTGTTATCATTTTAGATTTTTTATTTTTTTTTAATGCTTATCGATAAATAAATCTCGCTAGGTCAAACAGCTTGAAAATATAATACAAAAGAAAACAACTCACTGCTGATATGGTCAGATAAGCTTTTTGAAAAAAATAAACTATAATATTACTATTTCTATATTCAGCCAGTTCCATTGTTCAAGTATGTCAGTTGTACGAGAAAGTATCATACGACAACGAGTTAGGAAGTTTAGACTAAGTGTTTCACCTACTAATATATAATTTTGTTAAAATGACAATATTATTATATCGACCCGATGCATCATCATCAATTAGAAGAAAACAAAACAAAATAGAAATACCCTTGAAGAGCTAAACTAAACCGGTTTGAACTATAGGTAGGAACAAATATTATATAAACAGAAGCAAGAACAATAAATTCGACTATTGGACTATTGGACTATCCAATCTAGCTATTATAATAATTAATAATTATTGTCAAATTTTGAGATTACTGACAACAGTAACAATATTAATAATGATTAATATCGAATGGTAGTGTATAAAATATAAATTTAAAATAGTTAATTATATCATTGTAAATAATAAATGTATATTGTGTATATTGCATTAATAATAAAATACACAAATAAAATCGATTAATTGACAGAATAAGTACGATAGCGGAAATAAGTTCCTAGGATCCATAATGGAAGATACGCAATGGAGTAAATATAAATACACATTTTCTAATCATTATTGATGATGTAGCCATGCCTAGGCTTTGTTTATAAATAAAAACTTGTGAATATTATAGTCTATCC